CCCGGATGGAGCTTGCAATAGCCGCAGCAGCAGCGCTGGTAACCCATGGAAAGATGTGCTGGCAAGTCTGCCTGAACCCAAACCCTAAACCCCAAACCCTACACCCTAAACCCTAAACCCTGAACCCTGAATCCTAAACCCTAAACCCTAAACCCTAAACCCTAAACCCTAAACCCTAAACCCTAAACCCTAAACCCTTCCCAACGCCCTGTCGGCCCTTGGAGAGGTACACGCCGGCGACCGTGGAGGACGCCAGCGCCAGGGCTCTCTGCGTCTCGAGTTGTTCAATGTGACTCTTCCCCCTGTACCCTATGTGATCCCTTAAAGGGTATATATTTATATGTATAAACGTATACTCCTTTAAAGGGCATATATATATATATATGTATATATGGGGGATACCCTGTGTAATCCCTTAATGAGTATAGATAGATAGAGAGATAGATAGATAGATATATATATATATATGTAGGGGATATAGGGTTAGCTCATTCCCTCATTCCCTACTAAGAACCAGCCAGTCTTAAGTTGCACCGGGCTTGGCTGTCTTGGTAGACCAGTGGTACCCTTTTTCCCTTTTGTGGCTCAAGGTTCCCTTATCAGGTAACTAACCCAAAAAGGAGTGCCCTTATTATCATATGGTTACTGGGCTACCAAGCCGCGGGTTGGTTGCAGCTTGGGGATTTTGTGTTTCGGGACGTGCGCAAATCAACTGTCAGGCTGTCAAGGGACGAAAGGAGGGACCCTTAGAAGGGACCTCACGGGCTCTGTCGACATAGGGGTTGTATAGGGAGATAAGATTAAGGGTCCCTTCTGGGGGGTCCTTCCTCAAGTCCCTGCGACTGATCATGCCGGCTTGGTTGTCCCACCACGGCCGCTGCACGGACCCTGGCATTAGCATCTCCAAAGAATGCACGGAAACTGCCATTCAACAACCTTTCAAAGCGAGCAGCCCTTCCACTTCGGGACTGGGTAGGTAACCTTTAGCCTTTGTGGTTATATAGAACCCTACAATATCTAAAAGGTGAACCTTCTTTGGGCTAGGGTATTCAGCCCCTAGGTGTAGAAGAAGCACAGGGCTGTGGCTTTAGCTGCTTTGGGAAAGGGCGTTTGGAAATCTTGCCTCTGATGAATCCTCCCTCGATCCTAGCTAGGTAGGGCCTTGGGCTGTTTCATATCTTCTCCTTTTGGCTTGAAGAGGGTGATGTTTAGGAACATCTTCAGGGGGCTTTCAGGGCCATCCTAAGAACCACCTAGCAAGTCCGAATAGATATTCCTTATACGGGCAATCTTAGGGATAATATCATTTTGTACATAAATATAGAAAACTAAATAGAGATAAATAAATACAAATATAAAGAATAAAAAGTAAATATATAAGTATAATTAAATAAATATAAATATAAATATATATATATATATATATATATATATTTAGAAATACAAATAAATAAAAAAACATATATATATATATACATATATATATGTATATATATTTATATTTATTTATGCGGGGGGGGGGGGGTTGTTCTTAAGCAAAGAGCAGTATACGGATACCAGGGGGCATGCCTCAAAAGCAGAGGAGTACAAGCAGCGCTTCGGTGCCAACGCCGAGTACTCTGAGCTCGGGTCTGGCACTCGCAGGGTTCAAAAGGGGTGGCTTGTTTTTTGAGGGGGGGGTTAGGGTTTAGGGTTTAGGGTTTAGGGTTTAGGGGGGTTGGTTTGAGTTTTTGTTTTTAGGTTTTGGGGGGGTCAAGGGGTTTAGGACCCCTTTAACCCCCACTAAAGCTCCTAAAGTTTAAGAGTCTTAGCGGGGGTTAAAGGGGTTTAGAGGGTTGTGTTAGGGTTTTGGGGATGCTGGGGGCCACGCTGACATGGACGGGCGAACGACGATTTCCCCTTGGACCCCCGGAACATGAAAACTGGTACCCTAAACCCTAAACCCTAAACCCTAAACCCTAAACCCTAAACCCTAAACCCTAAAAATACTAAACCCTAAACCCTAAGCCGCGAATTATGTGCAGGCACCTGGGCCCCGATCTCGACGACGAAGGGCCCCTCGGCGCATTGGAGCCTATGCCTGGCCGTCTCACATGCTTCGTGAACCTGAAATTCCTGAAGGGGCGACAACACCCTGGAGCCTATAGCCAAATAGCCCAATAAACCTAAACCCTAACAGCCCCTAAACCCTAAACCCTAAACCCTAAGCCCTAAACCCTGATCTGTGAATGTGCGCACTTGTGGTGCTTCGGTTAGCCCTGAGGCTGCTGATGAAGCGCGCAATCCAGGAGAAGGCCGGTAGTTCTTTCAAACAAGGGGGGGATTTGGGGTTAAGGGTTTCGCGTTTAGGGTATGGGGTTTGGGTATAGGGTAATTATATAGGGTTTAGGGCTTAGGAAGGTTAGGGTTTAGGGTTTAGGGTTTAGGGTATAGGGTATAGGGTATAGGGTTTAGGGTTTAGGGTTTAGGGTTCTTTCAACAGCCCGGCGGTCCGTTGCAAAGAAAGGGTCTTTCAACGAAGGATGGGGGTGTTGGGCGTGAATTTGCAAGCCCCAGCCTGACTTGGCAAGAGGTGACCTATCACCCTTAGATCCCGAACCCTAAACCCTAAACCCTAAACCCTAAACCCTAAACCCTAAACCCTAAACCCTAAGCCCTAAGCCCTAAGCCCTAAGCCCTAAACCCTAAACCCTAAACCCTAAACCCTAATGAAGGATAAAGACTCGTACCCCTGAGGTTGTACCCCTGAAAGTTCCCCTATTTCTTGCCCTTGTACTAGCTCAGGGATCTTGAAAGAGGTCCTACAACCCAAGTGTACAACCTGAAGGGTCCAAGGTACAGCCCGTAGACCCAAACACCCTAAACCCTGAACCGACCTCGATCTGAGCCCCGGCAAGCTCCCTCAGGTGAAGGTAGTTAAGGTAGCTACATGGGCCCTCCCTTACCTCCTTTAGAGGGTTCTGAAGTATGGGCCCTTGGGTTGTATAGGGGCCCATACTCAGGGACCCTGAACCCTAAACCCTAAACCCTAAACCCTAAACCCTAAACCCTAAACCCTAAACCCTAAACCCTAAACCCTAAACCCTAAACCCTAAACCCTAAACCCTAAACCCTAAACCCTAAACCCTAAACCCTAAACCCTAAACCTACCCTAAGAGCCCAGGTGAAGCAGTTCAGCAAGGAGCTGCACCGCGTGAACAAGCAGCGGGCGGAACGAGCTCCTTTGCGCAGGGCTCGGGGGGTTGAGTGTGTTCTTTAAACCCCAAACCCTAAACCCGAAACCCTAAACCCTAAACTGTGGTTTTCAGGGGGTTTAGGGTTTTGAAGGTTGATAGAGAGTTTGCAGGGTCTATGGGCTAGGTCTTCGTGTTTAGGGTTTAGGGTTTAGGGCTTAGGGTTTAGCGTTTACGGTTTAGGGTTTAGGGCCAAATACTACAATTGGCATTTCTTGGCAACGCGATGAACTGCATCATGTCTCTGTGTGCTGAACGTGAAAGCAGTGTACCAAAAGCGAGCCGGAGGCCCTCAATACTACTCTTTGCTCAAGAACCCCAAAAGAGTAATAAAAAAATAGTAATCTCTATATTACCCTTATAACGAAACAATATGTTGTGTTTTTTTGGGGTTCTTAAGCAATTAGTAGAATACTGTCTGGCAGGATCCGGCCCGTAGTTTCAACCCAGTTGAGGACAGCTAGCACGAACGAACCATCACAACCCCTAAGCTCTCCAATGCTAGGACCCACCAGAGTAGGCCCTTCTTCCCCTTTTTCAGGGTGTAGGTTCCCTGATAAGCCCCTTGAAGCCAAAACGGGCACCTTTTTTTCTCCTATAGGTGACTCTTGGGTCTAGAATGTAGGTGCTACACCCGCGTGTAGCCAGAGACTCCCAAACCCCTTTAATTAAGGAATATCCCTTAAATCATAATAGGAACCCTGATATTATATATTATATATTATATATTGTATATTATATATTATATAATTTATGATTTAAGGTATATTCCTTAATTAAGGGGTTTTGGAGTCTCTGGGTAAGGCCCAAGCAGCCACAACCGAAGCCTGAGCCCAAATCCACGGCCCGGGCCAAGGCGCGAGGGGTTTTCACTCAGATGGCCGGGGTTCAGGTTTTTTAGGGTTGCAGATTTCTGCTGCAAAAAAGGGTTTCAGGCTTAGGGCTCAGGTTTTAGGGTTTAGGGTTCTTTAGGGTTGCAGATTTCTGCTGCAAAAAAGGGTTTTCAGGCTTGGGGCTCAGGGTTTTAGGGTTTAGGGTTGCAGGGTTTGGGATCAGAGGCTGGATGCGCGGTTTGGCGTTGTTTGATCCTGTTTGCTGTAAAGGCTCAGTCGGCTCAGGCTTGGAACTGTGGAGTTCGGTCGCACAAGGGGCCTGGGATTCAAGGCATTGCCAGTCCCCTGAACCCTAAACCCTACTACTTCACTCCACCGACATGCTTGAGGCTTCCTAGGCACCTTTAAACCTCTTTTAACGCCTGCGCCGAATGATGGCGGATTTGCTGCTTGGTTATGGTCCGGGACTGGGAAGAGAGTGGCAGAGACAAAGAGAGAGAGAGAGAGAGAGAGATGGCAGGGAAGTCTCACCGAGACGGGACTTGACCTGGGCATGCCCAGTGCGCGGGGGACCCCCCGGGGTTCCTCAAGCCCCGAAGAAGAAGAAGAAGAAGAAGAAGAAGAAGAAGAAGAAGAAGAAGAAGAAGAAGAAGACAGAGACAGAGAGAGAGCAGCGCCAGGTGGGTGGTAGTGAAACGCAGAGACAATGCAGGACCGGGGCGCGCAATCGCGCGGAGGGTTCCCCTCCATGCCCCAAAGAAAGAAAGAAAGAAAGAGAGCAGCGCCTTAAGGAGCGCAGAAGAAGAAGGTTGCCATTACAGAGTTTCTGCAGCCCTCTTGGCCCCGCGCCGTCTTAGAGCATGCTTGGTTCTGCCATGGGAAATCGCCAGGACGTCAGAGGCAGCGTCTGCTAAGCAGCTAGACCTCCGTTTGCATGCCTGCGCCGGTGCGTGGGGGATGGCGGCTCCCGGCAAATCCCTCCAAGGAGGCCCAGGGCAGTTTTCTTTAGGATGTGTAGGGCTTGCGTGAATCAGGCTTTGTGGCTAAGATATGAACCCTGAGTTTGCAGCGGATGTGTTCCTAGTCAGCGGTTGGAACTCATTTTCCCAAGCTCGCCTAACAGTCTGACCTCCCGTCAAGGTTCCCCCAAAAACTCGCAGTCTATTCAACACCATTGAACTAGCCAAGCGGGCGGCAAAACAAACGAAGTGTGGCACTCTTGAAAGCGGCACAACCAAGCCTCGGCCCGACAGAGCCAGCAAACCCCAAGCCATAAACTGGGGCTTAAACCCTAAGCCCTACACCCTAAACCCTAAGCCTAAACCCTTAACCCTTACCCCTAAACCCTAAACCCTGTACCCCGATTTTTTCCCCCAGGAGCTTCGCAAGGCCCTGGAGCCCTTCCGAGGAAGCGCGAAGCCCCGAGCCGCCCTGGCTCTGCTGCGGGAGGCCGGGAGTTTAGGGTTTAGGGTTTAGGGTTTAGGGTTTAGGGTTTAGGGTTGGGCTTCTTAGGGTTTAGGGTTTAGAGGGTTTGGGGTTAGGGTTTATCGGTTTATGGGGTTTATGGGGTTTGGGGTTTAATTAGGGTTTAGGGCGACCTGCTTCTGCAGACCCGGGTTCTGGAGAGAGGTCCCGTCCTGCCATTTAGCCTATTTTAGGGTCAGGGCTTAGGGTTTAGGGGTTTTTGGGTTTGGGGCTTAGGGTTTAGGGTTTAGGGTCTAGGGTTTAGGCAAACCCCCGCAAGCCAACAAGCAGCATCGCTTGAGGCCAGGCTGGGTTGTGTGGGCTTTTTTGAGCTGCAGTGGAACCAGAAGCAGTGCCACCAGAACTCGTTTCCGAGTCCCCGGATGACATGCCATCATCGCTAGGTTGGCTTTTGGGCCATTTCATACTTTCCTTCTTTGGCTTCATAAGGGGCCCTCTATTCAACTAGTTTTCAAAGGGTCTAAAGGCCAACCCAGATCAGTCCTGAGTCTTATTGGCCCAACTATGCCCGAATACCAGTCACTACCGACGGATGTTCCCAAAACCCTAAACCCTAAACCCCAAACCCTAAACCCCAAAACCCTAAACCCAAAACGCGGCAGGTGCCCGCCGATCTTGCTGGCCAGGTCTTGCAGGAGCCTATCCCAAGATCACCTGAAGTCCGAAAAGTCGAAGCCCACCCCAATCAATCAATTTGTATGTATATACACATGTATGTATATGTACATAGATGTAGAAATGTATAGACCCCCACTTAGTAGGATCCCCTCATACTAGTAGTAGGGACCCCCAATGAGGTACTAATTTCGGAAACCCGCCCATGTAGGAGTGTGTTACGACTTGCGAAAGGGCCAACCTGCACAAACCCAGAGGAGCCCTCTATCCCCCTTAAAATAAGGAGATAGGCCTTAAATCATACTAAGTACTAAGGATTCCCTTATAACTTAAGGTATACTGTATTCCTTCTTTAAGGGGTTTTGGGCTCTCTGGGAGTGTGTGCGAGTTGTTATGGCTGTGTCTGGGATGCCTAGATGTAGCAGTTGTAGTAGAACCCGCGTGAGTTCAGCTAGGCGGGGGAAGTGTAAGTTAATGGGCTTAGAGGGTGGTCTCTTGTACATTTGCTGGTCAGGTGCCCAAGTTTTAAGGCACTTGAGCATTCTCTCGGAACCGGATTTCTCAATATCAGGAGAGGCTGGACTTATGGGTCCTAGAGCATGCTATTCCTTTTCAGACGGGGGATTCCAGTCGCCAATTGCAAGCAGGAGTTGCTTGCGATGCAGCTACGAGCAGATGCTTTCCACTACTTCACCGTTATGAAGGCCGATGCCCTCACTGCAGAATCAGACTTGCCCAAGCCCTAAACCCTAAACCCTAAACCCTAAACCCTAAACCCTAAACCGCTGTTCATGCATGATGTGCACCCTCCCTTCTAGAGCTGGAGGTAGCCATTCTATGACGACGAAGGGTTTGTTCCAAGAATTTGTGTGCAGCAGAGTCTACGACTGGGGCAAGTTCGACTTCTGTGCTTAAGACATCTGGGTTCCTTGTCTGAATCTCCAAGACAGGTGCCACTTTGGCAGGCTCTGCAGCCTCCATGTCTACGACCGGCAATGTCAAGATGTCCAGAAAACTACTACTCTTTGCTGAAGAACCCACCAAAAAACGTAAGATGATAGTCCCTAGGTTTCCCTTGTAAGGAAGAATATTTTCCAGCAATTAGTCGACTTCAGCTCCTTTCAGCCCGCTAAACCCTAAACCCCTTTCAGCCCCTTGGCACTTTGCCAGGCCGAGCGCCGCAAGGGGCGATGGCAGCAACTCCTCGTCATGGGAGGGGCTTCTGAAGGGCCTCGAAGCTCTGAAGTTTAATAGGGCTTAGGTTAGGGTTTAGGGTTTAGGGTTTAGGGTTTAGGGTTTAGGGTTTAGGGTTTAGGGTTTAGGGTTTAGGGTTTAGGGTTTTCGCAAGGAGGATCGCTTCGCCATCGAAGTGTTCAAGTATGGTTCAGGTACTGTTTGCACGCATGAGGTGGAGCAAACGCCTTGGTGGCTTGAGCTTCTCAACTAGGGAGGCCCTTGGGACATTTCACATTTTCACTTCTTGGGCTGAAGAGATACATAGGAATCTTCTTCAGAGGGCTACAAGCCTAAACCCCAAACCCTAAACCCTAAACCCTAGAAGAGCAGGCCATGGCTAGATCCGAGGCATGTGGTGCACCACTTTGGCCAGATGCAGCTGCGCGGCGTGGCTCCGGATGCGTACTGCCCCCTGGCCCCGGTGTCGTCCGTCCCTACTGGGGTTTAGGGTTTAGGGTTTAGGGTTTAGGGTTTAGGGTTTAGGGCAGTCCCTGGAGGATCATATCTCGAAATATTTTCCAGAGGGTTACGAGGGGCCAGCCCAGTCGTAAACTCTCCCAACCCAAGCCCATGGGGCTGTTCACCTGGTGGATGAAGCCAATACCACAGCCCTGCGCGTAATTCCGATTTTCAAGAGGATGTCCCTGAATCCCAAACTGGGTTCCTGTTAAGGAACATGAGTTAAGTTGTCATAGCAAGTTGCTACAACACAACCCCAGTATGGCAAGTTAGCTTAAGTTTCTCCACCACCCAGAAAGACCCAAGAATCCGAAAGCCGCCAACTGAACCACCCTACAAACATCTGCCTCGAACCCAGATCCCTTACACCCTACCCTTTGGGCTCAGGGTTTAGGGTCGTACAAATTATAAACCCTACATAAGCCCCATGTTAAGCCCTTTTTTTAGCCCTATATAAACCCTATGTAAACCCTTTTTAAGCCCTATATAGATAAACCCTATACAAACCCTATATAAGCCCCATATGAACCTATGCAAACCCTATATCAGCCCTATATAAACCTAGAAACCCCAAAACCAGGTTTCAGTCTGGCCATGGATGCCTGGGCAGAGGGCGGCCAGTGGTTGAGGAGCCTGGCTTTGTTTGCTCACATCTCAGACTACACTGCGCCCAGTCGATGCTCCCAGGTTTTGGTGGCTCTTAGGGTCTAGGGTTTAGGGTTTAGGGCTCTTCAGGACGGGCTATCATACCCTATAACCCCTTAAAATGGCCCCATATGGGGTTGGTTTCGGGTTTTCAAGGGCCTAGTTGCCCAGTCGATGTTGGTTCGGGCGCGCGCGTCTACGGCGAGGAGTTTCTGCAGCGCTGGGTTTGGAGTTTTGGGGGCTTCAAACGGTCATGTAGGGAATGCATCTTGTCAATTTAGGGTTTAGGGTTTAGGGTTTAGGGTAATTGTAGCAGGTCCTGCGACTTCTGCAGCTGCCAACATCTTGCGGCATGTACTGCCCTAGCAGTTTTACCAGAATTCGGACTTCTCAGTGCAGAACTAGACCCTGAACCCTAAACCCCAAACCCCAAACCCTAAACCCCAAACCCTAAACCCTAAACCCTAGACCCAGCTGAAGCTGCAGAGGGGCAAGACCTCGATCCAAGGTGCCCGACGCAGTGTGCTTTGGCACAGCCATCCGCGCGCCTTGTCGGGGTTTAGGGTTTAGGGTTTAGGGTTTAGGGTCTAGGGTCTAGGGTTTAGGGTTGGAGACCCCAAGTCCAGTGGCAAAAAATCTGGCTAGTCCCCAGGTCCAGTGGCAAAAAGGGTTTGGGGTCTAGGGTTTGGGGTGTAGGGCTTGGTGCAGTGACACCCGAAGGCCCTTGTTTAGCATCCCTTGGCTTCACCTGGAGTCCCGCAGCCCAGAATGCCGCTGGACCTGGAATCCCTAAACCCCTACACTCCGAAACCCTAAGCCCCGCAACCCCTAAACCCTCAAACCCCTAAACCCTAAATCCCTAAATCCTCAAACCCCTAAACCCTACACGTCCGAAGGCATGTGAACACGGCACTGGGGTCTTGAGGACGTTTGATGCTCCCCACATCAAGAGTATCCCCCCTAACAGACCCCACAAGAAGACGCTCCTCATTCAGGGTTTAGGGTTTAGGGTTTAGGGTTTAGGGTTTTAGGGTTTAAGGTTTAGGGTTTAGGGTTTAGGGTTTAGGGTTTAGGGTTTAGGATCTACCTTGGACCCCTTAGGTTGCTTGATGCTCCCAGGTCTGCCAGAAGTCGGGCGACTGGCAGGCGGCAAGTGGCTGCCTTTGGGACATGGTCGCTTCAGGCCCCCTTCCCTGTCGCTAGGGTTTGGGGTTTAGGGTTTAGGGTTTAGGGTTTAGGGTTAGGGTTTAGGGTTTAGTTCACGGGTTTAGGGCTCCGGATGCTTCATGGTTCGGATCGCCTCATAGCACCTGAAAATCCCTGAGAACTCCCTTAAGCCATAGAAACCTTACCCTGAACCTTGCCTAGGGAACCAAAAGCTTCTGACATCGTAGGATTCACTACTTTCCTTATACATAGGTTTGGGGGCTCCTTGCGTAAACCCCGAAGCCCCCCCCACCTCTCGGAGGCTTCCAGCCCGACGCCGTCTCCTTGGGCGCGGCGATTCTTAGCCAGGTTTGGCACTTTCGATGGCGATGAGTTTGCCGGTAATGACGATGGTGGTGCTTAAGCTGGCAATGACGATGGTTATGCTTGCGCTGGTAGTGACGTTGGTGGTGATGATGATGATCATGATGATGATGATGATGATGATGATGATGATGATGATGATGATGATGATGATGATGATGATGATGATGTTGGTGAATGTTGTGCTCGGTTTCGTATCCCGGCAACCCCGCCACGAAATTTGTGCCATTTCCGGCATTCTGGACGCCCGCAAGAGTATGAAATGGGTCGGGGGGTTGAGGGGGCGAGAGGTTGAGGGGTCGACGGTTGTTCCGAGTAACCTTATCAAAATGAAGCGCTGGGTTGAAGTTTCCAACTCCGCACAACAGCGGGCAACGCTACTACGCCGGGCTCAGCATCATTAGTATGCTCAGGATTGTGATTCTATTCAGTCAGTATTATTCTGGTGCAAGGGCTTGGCCACCTGGCCGGAATAGAATCAGGGTGTCGCATTGTTTTTTTGTCTTTGGTTGTAGGACCATTGTAGTACTTCGACATCGCTATTGCTTGGATAACAATGGTGCCCACCGTGCCACCCAGCTTCCATCCGAGGTGTATTTGATCCCAATCTACCCTAAACCCCAAACCCCAAACCCTAAACCAACCCTAAACCAACCCTAAACCCTAACCCTAACCCTAAACCCTAAACCAGGATGTCTGCCTGTGCTGCAAGCGACGCTTGGCAGTCCGCACTCGGCCTCCTGCGGTGCATGGTCACCGGAGCGACTTGGGTGTGGGGTTTAGGGTTTAGGGTTTAGGGTTTAGGGTTTAGGGTTTAGGGTTTAGGGTTTAGGGTTTAGGGTTTAGGGTTTAGGGTTTAGGGAGTTTCGTTTCTTTTTCTTGTGTGGAAAGGGGGGGGGAGGAGATTGACGGTGTGGAGTTGGGTTTTTGCACGGGCATTCTGCTTGAGACCTTACCTGTGTCAGAGTGTTGGTTTGTATGCCGATGCAGCCGAGCGTGAAGACGCTTTTGAGGCTCTGCTGCCGGACTTGATCTGCTTCAATGTTGCCATTAGTGCATGCGAATCTTGGAAGTCCTTTCGCGAGACTGCTTTTGAGTGAGGATGTTCTAGGGGCTCCCTGTGCGTAAACCCTAACCGTAGACCCCAAACCCTAAACCCGAAGCCCTAAACCCTCAACCCGCAACCCTCAACCCTCAACCTTAAACCCTAAACCATAAACCCTGAGCACAGCACCTTTGAACAGTTCCGGGCATCTCAGGAGATGGCTGGGAGGTGGCAAACAGCATTGGAGCTGCTGGAGGAGCTGGGGCAGCGCTTCAGCGCCACAGCCACAAGCTTCAATGCCGCCATCACGGCTTGCGGGAGGGGAGGCAAGTGGCAGCAGGCCATTGGCCTGCTGGACTCCATGCATGCTGCAGCTGTGCTGCCCGACGGAATCAGCTTCAACGCGGCCATCAGCGCGTGTGACAATGGTGGAGTCTGGCCACACGCTCTCCACCTTCTGTTCGGCATGCGCGGCCACATGCACGCACCCGAACGCATCAGTTTCCTGGCATGACCCTGCCTTGGCATTTCAACACAGTACCTACGAACATCAGCTCACTTTTTGTACCCGGGCTTGGGGGCGGTTGCCGGGGCAGAACATGTTCTGCACCCGCAAATGCAGTAGCCAGGTGCTTGCCCTGCTAGGTTTCAATGCCGCCATCAGTGCCTGTGAGCGGGGCTGTGCTTGGCATCAAGCATTGCATGTTTATCGGGAGTTGATCCAGGCAGGCATAGCTCCAGATGAGCTGACCTACAATGCCGCTGTAGCTTGGATTTCGATTTCCAACGGTTGCCGAAAGCTCAACGGTTTAGAACACCAGTATCTCTCGGTGCCAACCAAGCTAAATGCCCAGCTCACAACATAACAGTGCCCGAGCAATGGAGGTTCAGAGGCTGATTGACCTGAGGGGTCTTCGAGCTCCCACGCTGAAGCGTTAGGCCGTTAGGCATGTCCTTGCTCTGCTTAGCGCAAGCAAGCCGTGACTCGACCAAGCTCAAGGGCAGCTTCTTAAACCCTTAACCCTTAACCCCACGTGCAGCTTCTTAAACCCTTAACCCTTAACCCCACGTGCAGCTTCTTAAACCCTTAACCCTTAAGCCCTAGGCCCTAAACCCTAAAAACCCTTAGCCCCAAAGCCCAGTCTGCAGTCCGATGCCAAGGTAGGGTCCTTTGCAGTGAATAGCGCGTGGGCGTCGGCCTTAAGGTTTCTGCAGGAAGCTTGGCGAGATGAAAGTTTAGGAGTCAGGGTTTGCACTACAGTCCTGGTAAGACAACTCAACGTATGAACGTATGTATACATGTGCACATCTATATATATATATATATATAATATGTATACATATAGGTAGCAACCTGACACTCCCACACTCAGATTTGGGGGGGGGGGAGCTTAGGCAGTTGCATGGTGTACAGTAAGAGCTTCAGCCAAGCGTTCCGCTTGTCATCATCCAGCGGTAGCCGCCCTCAGCCTCCCCGAAATCTGGAGCACTTCTTTAGGGTCTGCGGCCCTAAACCCTAAACCCTAAACCCTAAACCGATAAACCCTAAATCTAGGAGGAGATGCTCTCCAAGAGCCTCTGTCCAAACGGTCTGCACGTGGGCGCCGTGGCCAAGTCTTTGCCGGTCTCGGAGGCGCAATGGGGCACCTCCCTTGTCTCGAGTCCCCCGAAAAGCAGATTCATACTCTGAGTTTAGGGTTTAGGGTTTAGGGTAACCCTGTAAAATCCTAAATCCCTGAAGCCCCTAAACCCCTAAACCCCTAAACCCCTGGGGTTTAGAGTCTGGGGCCCCTGGTGGGCATCCCAAGCCCAGCACGGAAGCCGGAGTTCACACAAACGAGGCTTTTACGCCCTCGAGGCCCTGAGGAGAACTTGCGATGTTTCCCCCTTATACCAACAGTCCTTCAAAGGGATTATACTAGGGGGTACTATAATTCCGATTGAGGGCTGTTAGTAAAACCCTAAACCCTATACCCTAAACCCTAAACCCTAAATCCTAAACCCTAAATCCTAAACCCTACGGGGGAACATCCCAGAGTGAAACCAAGAAGCCCCGGATTCCAGAATTGCGACAGCGCGCAGGCACAACCGTCCTGAAACCCCTAAGTCCTATCAAGCCTTGGGCCCTAGCTAGGGTTTAGGGTTTAGGGTTTAGGGTTTAGGGTTTAGGGTTTAGGGTTTAGGGTTTAGGGTTTCTAGGTAGGCCCTTGGGATATTTGTTGTTTTCCCTTATTGGGCTTAAGAGGATCATATGTAGGAATTTGCTCAGGGGGTTTTCGGCCATCCTAGCTATGGAAGGCTCTAAAACTTCATGAGTTTAGGGTTTAGGGTTTAGGGTTTCATAGCACATCGCCCTGGTGCAGGCCGCCTGGGCTTTGTTGGAGCTCTGTCGGCGAAAGAGGGCTCGGCGGGTTGTCTTTTCTTGGGGCCGAAGGTTGGACATCATCTACCCTTACATGCTGCAAGTCATCTGGATTTCTGCCTGCTTAGG